GAGAGAGGGGAAGAAAGAACTCCCATCTGCTAGTTCAATCTCTCCCACCCTCTAGATGCCCGCAGTGGCCAGGGTTGGGCCACGCTGACCCTGGGGCCCAGGAATTCAACCCAGGTCTCCTTTGTGAGGAAGAGATTTAACTATCTGAGCCATTAGTGCCACCTCCTGAGGTCTGTATTAGCAGACAACTGGAGCCTCGAGCTGGAGCTGCAGCCAGATATGGAGCCCAGGGATTCCAGACACAGACTAGCACATTATCTGCCCAGTCCAAATGCAAAGTTCTCAAGGATACAGTACAAATATAGCATTCCTCAACAAGTAGAAATGGAGCCCGTTTTCTTTGAGTCTGAGGCAGCTGGATTACCAGGAACAGTAAGTGCTTTGCAAATATAATGGGCTTTGGTTTTGTGAGCACGCACAGGTAAGTGCAAACTACTGGCTTGGTATGAGTCTTTTTCACAAATACTCAGGTAAACATAGTAGTCCCAATTTTTAGTTAGAAACGAGTCGGTCTTTCAGATTTTCTTTGGTCTTTGTTTTTGCCTCACTATGTCAATTAGTTACTACTGCACAACAAGACACTCAAAATGTAATGGCTTAAAACAATAAGTGCTGATTATTTCTCACAAGGGTCAGATAAAAGCAGTACCAATCTTAGCAGGGCTCCCTGTCCATCTGGTCAGCTGGTGACTGAAACCTGGTAAGGCTAGGGCCCTGGGCTGGCCAGCCCCAGTCTGCTCATCCCACATCCCACAGCAGGCTAGCCCAAGCCTGGGCTCATGGTTTGGAAGTGTTTCAAAAAGCAGAATAGAAGTATTCTATTTGTTCTATCAGTCATATATCTTAATTTCTCCAAATTTTCTGTATTTTTATTTCCCTGAACTGCACTCTTGGCCATTGTATTCAAATATGTTGTATTCAAATACATACAATGTAGTATTATTTGACAACTATATGCAGCACTCTTCCAATGACAGACTGTCTTATGTAATTTTTTGTACTATAATTTAAACATTTTCAAATTTGTCAAAGTATATTCCATTATGGATAGCAATATAATACAGTCTATCGCTGTATTACATGTGTTTTTAGAAAGTTTATTTTGGCTCTGGCCTGAAAAACGTACTTTATGGAGTTGGCATTGGGGTGCAGTGGGTTAAGCCACCCCATCCCCCTCTGAAATGGCCACTGGAGTCTTGGCTATTGCCATTTCCCATCCATCCTCTGGCTGGTACACCTGGGAAGGCAGAGGAAGATGGTTCAGTTCTTTGGGCCCCTGCTGCCCAAATGAGAAATTGAGTTCCTGGCTCTTGGCTCCTGGCTTTGGTCTGATCGAGACTCGGCTGTTGTAACCATTTGGGAAGGCAATCAGCAGACTGAAGATCTCTCTCTGTTTCTCCCCCTCTTTTCGATAATCTGCCTTTTAAATAAATGATCAACTCTTTAAAAATAAGATTAAAACAGAAAAATTTACTTTAAAAGCAGAAACAAGGGTCATATATAAGTCTCCGGCTGTCTTTTTTTTGACGATCTTTACATAGTTGATTAGGGTAAAAAGGTTCAAGGGCTACAGGAAAGTGGATAAGACTAGTATTTTTTCCATATTGTTTCCTTCATGTTTAAAGGGGGTATTAAGGGAGAAGGCCCACCCAGTTTCCCACCTTCCCCAGGTCCCGGATGTAGGGCATGCTCTGAGGTTCTTGCTCAAGTGGTTTTGATATTTCAACAGTTATGAATCGCTGCCAATATTGCCACTCCAAGCACTATGAGGTCTTTGAAAAATCCACTGACTGACATAGTCCATCATAGCTGAGATGGTTGGTTGACATGTTCTGTCTTCTCTCTTTTCTTGGTTGGGGTTCTGAGTCCAGTCTGACTGTCTTTTAATTATAGTAAAAACAGATCATACCCATTAGGTTTTCTGCTCTAAATAAAAAGTAGAAAATAACAGCTGTTGGATATGGACAGACTGAAAAGTTACTAGAAGTATAAAATGCTGCAGCCTCTATGAAAAAATAGAATGGCAATTGTTCAAAATATTAAACATAGGATTATATGACTCAGCAATTTCACTTCTGAGTACATATTTGAAAGAACTGAAAGCAGGATCTTGAAGGGATATTTCCACATCAGTTTCCTTAACAACATTGTTAACAGTCACTAAATGGTGGAAAGAATCCAATGTTCATCAGTGAATGAAGGGATAAACAAAATGTGGTACATATACAACGAGCTGTGATCTAGCCTTAAAAAGGAAGGAAATTCTGACACACGCTGAGCCTTGAGGACATGATGCTCAGTGAAACAAGCCAATCACAAATAGACAAACACTTTGGAGGAGGTATCCAAAACAGTCAAATTAACAGGATATAGAATGAACGGTGGTTACGAGAGTCTGGGTCCGGGAGGAAGTGGAGAGGCTAATGGGTGTAGTTTCAGTTTTGTAAGATGGAAAATTTCTGGAGACAACACTGTGATCAGACAAGTGCTAACCACTACTAAATGATAAAGCTGGTAGTAAAGTTTATGCTGTATATTGTATATTTTATCATAACTAAAAAACTTCTCTAATTTTTAAAAAAAGACTTATTTATTTTTATTAGAAAGATATACAGAAAGAAGGAAAGACAGAAAGATCTCTGTTTGCTGGTTCACTCCCCACGTGACCACAACAGCTGGAGCTGAGATAATCCAAAGCCAGGAGCCAGGAGCTTCTTTTGGATCTCCCACACAGGTTACAGGGTCCCAAGGCTTTAGGCTGTCCTCTACTGCCTTCCCCAGGCCACACCAGGGACCTGGATGGGAAGCGGGGCTGCCGGGACATGAACTGGTGCCCAAACGAGATCCCAGTGGCAAAGATTTAGCTAGTGAGCCATCGTGCCGGTCCCAGGTTCTCTAATGTTATGCTTAAGTAAAGCAAGGCCACTGATACACCACCAAGGCCTTACATGTGTAATGAGAGATAGCCAAACTGAACAGGAGACTTCCCAGTCATCTGTAAACTCTTTCTTCCTTCGAAGCATGTGTGCTGAGAAACATCCGTTTTATATAACACTTCCGTCCAGTACCATGCAGACATCCAGACCAACTTCATTCCATCCTGGGGAGCAGATGTTCTCTGTTTGTCATTGTTTTTGAGTGTTTAAATGGTTTTGATGCCCTCATTTTATTTCTCCAGGATTATTTGTTTTCAAATGCTTTTGTGGGGAAAAAAAAAAGTTCTTCATCAAAGCTGCTGGAAAATTCAAATAAATATGTCTCTAGTATTTCCTTTGCCTTGTACTCTTTGGAACTCTTCCGTTGGGGCATCCTTCCAACACATTACAGAGACGGAGCTGACAGGCTTGCTTCTGGCCAGGTTCCTATTGGTAATTTACGGGTAGCTTTCTGCTCCAGATAGTTGCCACTGAGTATGGTGTTGGAATCCAGCAGCTTAATCCCTGGCTGGTGACTCTGGACCCCAGCATTTCCTGTCAGAGTACTGCTTCCAGTCCCGGCTGCTCCACTTCCAATCCAGCTTCCTGCTGATGTATATGAGAAAGCAGCCCAGGGTGACCCAACGACTTCAGCCCCTGCTGCCCAAGTGGGGAGAGCACATGAAATCCTTGACTTTCAGGATGGCCCAGCTCTGGCTGTTGTGCTCATGGATGGTTTCGCTCCTTATCTCTCCACTTCTCCTTCTGCCTTTAAATTAAAAAAAAAAAAAAAAAAGATTCAATTGCTTTAAAACGAACAGCTGCAATTATTCAAGATAAATTGCCCACTGCCTTCGTTTGCACTTTTTAAAGTGATTTATACATTTGAAAAGCAGAGCACCAAAACAAGAGGGAGACGGAGAGCTCTTGTCAGTTGGCTCACTCCCCACGTGGCCACAGGACTGGGTGAAGCTGAAGCAGGCGAAGAATTCCATCCAGGCTTCCCCACGTGAGTGCAGCAGTAGCAGCACTTGGGTCATCTTCTGATGCCCTCCCAGGCACATTAGCAGGGAACTGGAACCTGCACTCTGACACCGGATACCCCCACTGTGAGCCACAGCTCCGCCCACCGCTCGCACTTCTCACAGAACCTTTCCCTGAGGCAACATCAAACACCTGATGGACTTTGAGATCATTCTGCGATCTCCACTTTCAAATGCTTCTACTTCATTGCATCTTAAGGTCCTGGTGGCGGGCCATCACAAAATGCTCCCAAGTCCTCTGCAAATATCAGGAATCTCAGGTGGTTTTTCATCGTCTGGCTTCCCTCCCTAAGCGGCTTCTGATAGCCATCTTAACACCGCTTTGGTTAAACCTACAGTGACCTACAGGGGTTCTCGCCGTGGCCTCGGGGAAAGCACAGCTGCGGGAGCAGAGCAACAGCAAACTAAAGAGCCTCCCCAGACCCTCGGACTGCGGTTTCCTCTTGTCTTCCTTTGGCCCAGGAGGACACCACGTTTGACCAAAAGTCGAAGCCATGACTTCTCATTTTGCAAGAGGTCAGCGTCCCTCCCACTCCCCAGTTTGGTTCACCTCCCCTTGTCCCTCGAGATACCCTCAGCGGGGGCTAGAGGGCAAGCTCCGGACTTTTCCAGTCGGGGTTCTCAAGGGTTGCGAGGCCGGTGGGAACGACCCGGCGCGGGCTGTGGGTAGGCGGTTAGGAGAGTCTTGGCAGCATCCTGTTTTGCCCTTTCGAGTTTAAGAATGTGTTAGCCTGTTAGAAACGAAACGGAACCTGTGCATCAGTCGGGAGAGCTGGCCTGGTCTGAAAATCCCTGCAAGGGTTGAGAGCTCTGAGATGGAGCCGAGCGGTGCACACGCGTGGCCTCGCGGAGGAGTTCCCACAGGGCCTGTGGAGCAGGGCCGTCCCCTGCGCGCCGGGGGCCGGACGGAGGAGCGAGTAACCGCCCGGCTCGCCCCTCCCCGCGGCCGGCCGAGGAGGGCGGGGTCGGGGCGGGGCGGGCGCGGTGCCCGCGCTCCGGAGCCGAGCCGAGCCGCGAGCTGCACTAGAGGGAGCTGCCGCCGCCGCGATGGCGGAGGACAGCGAGTCTGCAGCCAGCCAGCAGAGCCTGGAGCTGGACGACCAGGACACGTGCGGCATAGACGGGGACAATGAAGAGGAGACGGAGCATGCTAAAGGGTAGGTGACGGCGCGTGGGCGCCGCTGGCCGCCACAGGGTGGGTCCGCGCGCGCGCTTCTCCGGCTCCGGCTAGCCACCCCCCGGGTGCCGGAGGAGACGACCCTCTCTCGGCCGCTTTGGCCCGCGATGGCGTCGCCCCGGCTCCGGGACCGTCGTGAGGTCTGGGGTCGTTTGGCTGTCTCGCCGTTAGAGGCGAGGCCCGGGGTGGGCGGGGAGGCTTTGGCGCTCGGAGTCAGGGGCCCCGCGACGCGGCTGTCACCTGCCGCGCGCCCCCGCCGGCGGCCTCGCCCATCCCCGCCCGCGGTCCCGGCCCCTTGGTGCGGGCGGCGGCGTGTTGCCCTGGCCAGCGTCGGGGTCTCGGTGGGAACCGGGGAGAGGCGTGACGCCCTTCCCTTTGTGATAGCCGCAGCGCGTGGGCTGAAAGTCGCCTTCCTCTGATCCTTGCCATCCTTCCTCAAGTCCTTCTCACATCCTCCCCCCCCCCGCCCCCTAACCGCCACCCACCCGGAAAGAGGGAGAGGGGGAAAAAAACGGGCGGCGCGCGCGGCTGGGGGAGTGGCGTGGACATGGGCCCCTAGTGGTTTCGGGTGGGCTGGCTGCGAACTGCGCAAAGTTCTGTGCTCCCCGTTCGGGTGAGGTGTGGCGAGGGGCCCAGGGGCTCGGTGCGCTCCTGAGCGCCTACGCCTCGGGCACCACCATGCGTGACCGCAGAGCTCCCCGGAGCAGGGCTGGCCGCGCTGAGCGGAGCTCCGGCAGCTCTGCCTTTGATCCCGCTTGTAGAGTGGCCTTTGGGTGTCCGGAGGCTAGAGGCACCCAGTATTTTAACCCTTGATCGGGTTTCTTAATCCTTTAACACTTGCCCTCTTCTCTGCACCACGGTCTTGCTCGACTCTTCTGTTGGAGAGGAAAAGAGAGATTGCTTCAGGTTCTGGCTGGGAGTGAAGTTCTCTTTGTAGAACTGGGGGCGGGAGTCACTTTAGACTGAGGTTGGATGGAAACTGCACCGGTGCCCCCTGACAAGGGAGTTTTGTGGAGCATGGTAACTGGAGAAGTGGGTCATCCTCCAAATGTGAGAGCAAGGCCTGAGGCCCTGAGAGCTCGTGGGTTCCATTCACTGGAGAGACTCTCTCAATGGCTGAGGATTCAGTGTCAAGTGTGTGCGGTATACTTCATACCTGTGTGCTTAGTTTTAAAAGGAATGCTTGCTGATTTTTCATATGCTATACATTACCAAATGAGAACAAGGGGGAAAAAAAGCTGATCACAGGGTTTTAAATGCATATATATTTTGCAGCCAATACTTCAGTGGCAGCTGCAAATATAGAATGTTATCTTTCAACTCTGAAATCTTTTTGTTTGAGAGGAAATTGTACAGAAACCTGAGCCCAGATTCCAGTGAGGTCGTGATGGAGATTTGCCTGTGATACATCAGTATAAATAGGTGGGGGACTTCAGAATACTGGGAAATGGCATTAACAGATCAGTTTAGTCTGGTGCCAAACTCTTGAAATCTGTGCATATGTGTTTTTTGAAACAATAGCTGCCTTGCTGGAAATGGGCCCAGATCCAAGTGCGAGAAGTTACCCTAGTAACTCCAGCACCTGTTAGCCTGACTGGTGAAATCCGATGCTGCTCTAGCCGTTTCTGGATTTTCTGCTTGTTGTTCTTTGTGTGATTGACATCCTAGGCTCCTTGGGGCTTCTCTTTCATGCACCAGCAACACTGTCCGTGGTACGAAGAATTCATCACTGATTGGGCACTGTTCCCTGATGTGTGGCCGTGGTCCGTTAGAGGTTCCCCAAGGCGTTTTTCAGAGGTTTGCGGTTTTGCCCATCAGCACATTATTATAGGCTGGCACAGCTACTCTTAGAGATGCCTCGTGCACTGCAAGGTTGGAGTCAAGAGCAGATAATCTGGTAACAGCTGCTGGTGGGAAGAGATTATTAACATATTTATTGCAGTCTATTTAAATGTAAGAGAATTTGTGAAACTCCAGCTTGCCGCTCCCACGGGATTGCTGTTTGGGGTGTAAGGTTAGACAGTTGCCACCGTTGGCAGAGTGGTGTTATTTGGCTCATGTGCTTGTGGTATTGCTGGGTAGAAACTTCAGGTTTTCTTTGTAGTAAGTTGGAAAATGCTAAACCGTGAATGACTCTCTGTCTTAAGTTTTTGTTGTCTGCTGATTTGAGTAGATAACAGATAATGGGCTTCTGGAAGTAGAGCAGGTGTATGCTTCAGTTTTAAAAGGTGAATTGTCAGGCCTGTGTTTGTGTAGCAGTTAGTGTACGTCTTCTATGTTTTTTTCTCTTTTTAAGATGCCTTACGGAGGACTACACTATTGTAACAAAATGGGAAAAATCTGATGGGGGTGGGAGTTTGGGGGGGGGAATCGCAGCCTATACAAAATTGTACCACATAATTCAAAATTCAAAATAAAAATGTATTTTAAAAAGATTCACTTATCTTTATTGCAAAGGCAGATCAGATTTACAGAGAGAGAAGAGACCAAAAAAAAAAGATCTGTCTGCTGGTTCACTCACCAAATGGCTACAACAACCAGAGCTGAACTGATTTGAATCCAGGAGCCAGGAGCCTCCTTCAGGTCTCCCACGTGAGTGCAGGATCCCAACCAAGGCTTTAGGCTGTCCTTTACTGCTTTCCCAGTCTATCAGCAGGGAGCTGGATAGGAAGTGGACTAGCTGAGCCATGGCCTGATGCCCACATGGGATCCCGGCGCTTGCAATGTGAAGATTTAGCTTTTGAGTCACCACGCCAGGCCCAGGATGCTTCTCGAGGGACTCATGTTCTGGCCCAGGGAGTTAAGCATCTCGTAATGTGCCTGGGAGGCAGTAGAAGATGGTGTAAATACCTGGGCTTCTGCCTGGCCCAGTCTTGGCTGTTGTGGGCATTGGAGAGGGCACCAGCAGGTGTAGGATCTCTCTCTGTTGCTCTGTATTTCAAAATAAATAAAACCCTTTATAAAAAATGATGTCACTTGAAATGCGGTTACCTGAGTACTTTGTTGGAGTCTTGGCTGTGCCTCTGTCCAGGTTCCTGCTGGTAGGAGCCCTGGGAGGCAGCGGGTATGGCTCAGGAATGTGAAGCTCTGCCACCCACGTGGGGGACTTGGACTGAGGTACAGGTTCCTGGCATCAGCCTGGCACGGTGCAGGTTGTTGTGACCATTTGGGGAGTAAACTAGGTGGAAGATCTCATGCTGTGTCCATTTTTTCTTTCTCTGCTGTTCACATAAAGTGAAAGTAGGTAAATAAAAATTTAAAAGTAAGGTTGTTGCTTGGACTGAACAATGATCATTACACAGAAAATTTTCTGGCCAGGCGGCATGACTCCCTGGGAAAGAGGAGGCCCAGCTAGGCCCCAGGCTCACACAGCCTGGGTGCTTTTTCGGCTGACGTAGGAAGCCCTGGCAGCCTTGGCACCAATGGTGCCAGGCAAAGCCCTCTGGCTGCCAAGTAGCATATACTTGGGACTTGGTGGTGTGGACTTACATTTGGCCTGGGGGATGGCACAGGTAGGGACAAACAGGGATCTGAGGATTCATGTCCATATAAGGAGCGACTTCTGAGGGTCTTCCATGGACAAGGCCACTGGACTTACCAGGCTAGATCACAGAAGCCACTGGTGAGAGTCAGAACAGGAAAGGGGGTAATGTGAGGTTAGTCAATGACACCAACACGTGAGTGAATTAGGTCTGGGGGCAGAGGCTGGGGGGGAGTATGTGGGCTCATCTATGTGGAACAGCAATCTCTATTGGCACATGCAAGAGCTGTGGTGGGGAACAAACCTGGTTGGGAAGCTAAGGGAAGCTTTGGCTGGGTTGGGATTCCTACTGGTGAGTGCAAGAGCCCAGTGGGCTGGGCTGGACATAGCTGCAGTCTCCCCTGGCGTGGGTGGGGACTGGGTCTGGAGAGCGCCAGGCTGGGCTAGACTCCATGAGAGCCAGGGTGGGTGTTGAATGGGCTGGGCTAGATCTCCTCTCCTGCTGCACCACATGAGGGTTGTGTCTGGGTGTGAACCAGGTATGGCTGGGCTGCAACACCCAGCAGTAAGACCTGGACTAGATATGGGCCGTTTGGGTAAGGCCATTGTTCTGCCAAAACAAAAGGTGGACAAAGTCAGCCTGGGCCAAGGATCCACTGCTATACGCAAGATCTGCCACAGGGAGGTGATCTGATAAGAGGAGCTTGGGGAACTCCTCTGTCAGAACACAGTCCCTGTAGGTAAGCACAAGAACCAAGACTAGGAGCAGCCCAAACCAGGCCAGGCTACAGTACTGGCCAATACACATGTGGGTCAGGTCTGGGAGCAGGCCAGGCTGGGCCAGTTCATAATATCCACTGACAGATTTGAGGACCAGGAAGGGGTACAGGAGGGGCCGGGTTGGGCTGCAACCATCCATTTCACACTGGGGCCAAGACAAGGGACTGGATGGGCTGGGATAGGCTGCAGCATCCACCATCAGGAGCTGTAACTGGGACAGGCTGGACTGAGCCAGGCTGAAGCACCTGACGGTTGATGCCAAGTTTGGGCAAGCCATGCCAGTCTGAGGGTGGTGGTTACCAGGTCCGTGAACCCCAGGAGTGGATTAGGAATGTGGTCTGGCGGGACCTCGGTTGCCTGGCCTGGGTCCTTGGGCCCATCCGCACAGTGGATGCTGGGCTGTGAGTCCTGGGCATGGCAAATGTGGTGGGGCCCAGGTCCTTGGGCCCACCTGTGAGAATTGGTCCTCCTCAATAGAAAAGATGGAGTGGTGTACAACTGGCCTAGATCCACATGGAGGATACGGCAGCCCACTGGGGCCTTCAGAAGACAGCTGTTACCTTAGCAGAGGAAAGAGAACAGGACAGATTGGACAACTATCCCAGCCCAATGATCACAGCAAATATCTGGGCGAATGGAGATTACAAGGTGAACTATGTCAGCCAATGGATGTTGTAAGTGTTCCCTTACTCTTGAATCGGCAAGACCGACAGCATTTC